GAAGACCCAACGCAGCCAAAAATTAAAAAATAAATTTAAAAAAGGAAAACACTTAACGTATGATTTTTGCTTCCTTTTTGTGTTGGTCTTTATAGTAGAGGCCTTTATAGTAGATCTTTAATCCTTTTGAAAATTTAGTATTGTCTGTGTTGTGAACTAGGGGCTGTTAAGTACTTAAAATGAAGCAACTGGTGAAGGCAAAGGTTTACAATTAAAGCTAATGGCCTGTGATGATTTAAAAGAGATGTTGGTCATTTCTAATAATTTTTATATGTTTTTTCAACTGTAAGTATTCTGAGCTAAGCATTTTGAGTCTGTGTCTCATTTACGTGAGAACAGGGATTTCCTGTGACCTCTACTCTGGAATTAGAAGAGTCAAATTCTGTACATGCCGGGGTGGGGGGTGCGGGGAATGGGGGAAAGGGAAAGAAGGGGACAGTAGGAAAGAGGGTGGGAGGAAATGAGGGTGAGAAGAAATTTTGAAAGTGTATTTTTAAAAAGTTGGAAGAAGCTCTGTACTTTTGGGATTATCATTTGTCTGAGTTTATCAAAACCATTTCTTCATTCTTACTCCAAATTACTTATTTCCTTCCAATTGGCAGTTGAAACAGGCCTCCTTTACCTTAATTCATTAAGTTAGCTGATGTAAAGTTTAAAAGTTTTCCATTGGGTTTGCTAGTTAAGATGACCTTGGTGGTTTCCAATAGGGATTCGTTTGCAGTTTATTGCAGATACTAATCTAAAATTAGAAATCACATCTTCTAATATCCGTTCTGCAGTGATGCATTCACATCAGAAAGCAGTACTGGGAGTTTTCTGCTAATCACACGTAGTTAGTTTGGAGGTTTCCTGCCCCGGCTGGTCAGCTGTGGACTTGAAGCAGAGGTGTTACAAAATCCCCAGTCTCCAGGCCGTCAGGCTGCAGCAAGTGGGGCAAGAATTCATGGGGTTTGAACTGTCACCCACGTGTTTCAGTACATTGCCTTCTTTCTGAGCTTTTATGCTCAGTTTTCCCCTTCTTTAATTATCCGTGTCCTTTCCTGTTGGTCCTGCGTCCCTTTAACTCAACCCATTAGTCTGACAGTGCTTGTTTTTTTTCTTTTAATTTTTATTTTATATTGGAGTATAGTTGATTTATGTTGTGTTAGTGTCAGGTGTACAGCAAAGTGATTTAGTTACACATATGCATGCATCTATTCTTTTTCCAATTCCTTTCCCATTTAGCTTATCAGAGTATTGAGCAGAGTTCCCTGTGCTATACAGCGGTCCTTGTTGTTTATCTGTTTTAAATGTAGCAGTGTGTACATGTCAATCCCAAACTCCCAGTCTATCCCTCCCCCCACCCTTCCCCACTGGTAACCATAAGTTCATCCTCTAAGTCTGTGAGCCTGTTTCTTTTGCAAATAAGTTCATTTATATCATTTTTTTTAGATTCCACATTAAGCGATATCATGTGATATTTGTCTGTCTTAGTATAGTATAATAATCTCCAGGTCTATGCATGTTGCTGCAAATGGCACTATTTCATTCTTCTTAATGGCTGAGTAATATTCCATTGTATATATGTACCAAATCTTTATCCATTCATCTGTTGATGGACATTTAGGTTGCTTCCATGCAATGAACATTGCTGCAATGAACATTGGGGTGCGTGTATCCTTTCGAACCATGTTTTTCTCTGGATATATGCCCAGGAGTGGGATTGCTGGATCATATGGTACCTCTATTTGTAGTTTCTTAAGGAACCATCATACTGTTCTCCATAGTAGCTGCACCAATTTACATTCCCACCAACAGTGTAGGAGAGTTCCGTATCTCCACACCCTCTCTAGCATTTGTTGTTTGTAGATTTTTTGATGATGGCCATTCTGACTGGTGTGAGGTGATACCTCATTGTAGTTTTGATTTCCATTTCTCTAATAATTAGCAATGTTGAGCATCTTTTCATGTGCTTTTTAGCCATCTGTATGTCTTCTTTGGAGAAATGTCTATTTAGGTCTGCCCATTTTTTCATTGGGTTGTTTGTTTTTTTGATATTGAGTCACATGAGCTGTTTTTAAATTTTAGAGATTAAGCCCCTGTTGGTCACATGGTTTGCAGTTATTTTCTCCCATTTTGTGGGTTGTCTTTTCATTTTGTTTATGGTTTCTTTCACTGTGCCAAAGCTTTTAAGTTTAATCAGGCCCCATTTGTTTATCTGGGAGATGGATGGAAAAAGATAATGCTGCAATTTATGTCAGAGTGTTCTGCCTGGGTTTTCCTCTAGGAGTTGTATAGTATCCGGTCTTGCATTTAGGTCTTTAATCCATTGAGTTTATATTGATGCTTCCAATCCAAGAAAAATGATATCTTTCCATCTGTTTGTGTCCTCTTTGATGTTCATCAGCCTCTTACAGTTGTGGTCTTTTGCCTCCTTAGTTAGGTTTACTCCTAGGTATTTTATTCTTTTTGATGTGATGGTAAATGGGTTTCTTTCTCTTTCTGATCTTTCATTGTTAGTGTATAGAAATGCATCAGCTTTCTGTGTATTGATTTTGTATCCTGCAACTTTACTGAACCCTGATGAGCTCTAGTAGTTTTCTGGTAGCGTCTTTAGGATTTTCTATGTGTAGTATCATGTCATATGCAAACACAGTGACACTCCTCCTTTTCCAATTTGGATTCCCTTTCTTTTTCTTCTCTGATTGCTGTGGCTATAGGACTTCCAAAACTATGTTGCATAAAAATGGCAAGAGTGAGTATCCTTGTCTCATTCCTGGTCTTAGAGGAAATGCTTTCAGCTTTTCACCATTGAGTGTGATAGCTGTGGGTTTGTCATATACCACCTTTATTATGTTGAGGTATGTTCCCTCTAGGCCCACTTCCTGGAGAGTTTTTATCACAAATGGGTGTTGCAGACAAAGCTTTTGATCAGATTCATCTATTGAGATGATCATGTGGTTTTTATTCTTTAGTTTGTTAATATGGTGTGTATCACACTGATTGATTTGCAGATACTGTAGAAACGTTGCATCCCTGGGATCAATCCCACTTGATTATGGTATATGATCCTTTTTAAGTATTGTTGGATTTAGTTTGCTGAGTATTTTGTTGAGGATTTTTTCATCTATGTTCATCAGTGATATTGGCCTGTAATTTTTTTGGTGATATCTTTGTCTGGTTTTGATATCAGGGTGATGGTGGCCTCATAGAATGAGTTTGGGAGTGTTCCTTCCTCTGCAATTTTTTGGAAGAGTTTGAGAAGGATGGGTGTTAGCTCTTCTCTAGATGTTTGATAGAATTTGCCTGTGAAGCCATCTGGTCCTGTACTTTTTTGTTGGGAGTTTTTTCATCACACTTTCAATTTCGTTACTTGTGATTGGTCTGTTCATATTTTCTGCTTCTTCCTGGTTCAGTCTTGGGAGATTGTACCTTTCTAGGCATTTGTCCATTTTTTCTAGGTTGTCCATTTTACCGGCATATAGTTGCTCGTAGTAGTCTCTTACAATCCTTTGTATTTCTGTGGTATCAGTTGTAACTTCTCCTTTTTCATCTCTAATTTTATTGATTTGAACCCTCTCCCTCTTTTTCTTTTTTTTTTTTTTTTTTTTTTTTTTTGCGGTCCGGGGGCCTCTCACTGTTGTGGCCTCTCCCGTTGCGGAGCACAGGCTCCGTATGCGCAGGCTCAGCGGCCATGGCTCACGGGCCCAGCCGCACCGCGGCATGTGGGATCCTCCCGGACCGGGGCACGAACCCGTGTCCCCCGCATCGGCAGGCGGACTCTCAACCACTGCGCCACCAGGGAAGCCCCCTCCCTCTTTTTCTTGATGAGTCTGGCTAAAGGTTTATCAGTTTTGTTTATCTTTTCAAAGAACCAGCTTTTAGTTTCATTGATCTTTTCTGTTGTTTTTTTTTTGTTTCTATTTCATTTATTTCCGTTCTGATCTTTATTTCTTTCCTTCTACTAACTGGGTTTTGTTTTTCTTTCTCTAGTTGCTTTAAGTGTAAGATTAGGTTGTTTGAGATTTTTCTATGTTTTGTATACAAGATATATTTTGTATAGCTATAAACTTCCCTCTTAGAACTGCTTTTGCTGTGTTCCATATATTTTGGATGGTCATGCCTTCGTTTATTTGTCTTTAGGTATTTTTTGCTTTCCTCTTTAATTTCTTCAGTGATCCATTGGTTGTTCTAGTAGCATATTGTTTAGCCTCCACGTGTTTGTTATTTTACAGTTTTTTTCTTCTACTTGATTTCTAAGCATTGTGGTCAGAAAAGATGCTTGATATGATTTCAGTTTTCTTGAATTTGTTTTGTCTTATCAAGTTTTATTCTAGAAGTAATCATTTTTTTAATCCAGAATGCAAAAGTGTGGCACACAAGTTATTCATCACTATTTGTGTACAGTGAGTCCACATTCTTCTAGGCCCTTCAGTGTGTACTCAGACATTTGTTATTGATATTGAACTTTTGATTGTTACAGTAGTAATTTTTAAATTATGCTAATATCTCCCATTATTTGCCAGTTTCTAGATATCAAACAAGAATTGATAAATCCTCAAATACAGTGCAACAAACAAAATTGTTTTCTAGTGCCTGGTATCAGAATGATAAAGGAAGCAGTCATTTTCCACAGCTGTTTTTTAAAACAGGGCTGAAGAAAACCAGATTATTAAATGTAAATTTTGTTAAACACAAATTAATTATAAATTACTCAAATGTAATCCATTGAGTTTTGGAGTTAGCCTCACTTGTAGTGCTTTTTTCATTTTTATCTTGAAAATTCAGACGGAAAGATTTAGGTTATATTATGTAAACACATTTTACCAAATTCATTTTTCCCATTTTCTCAATATACTTGGAGAAGCAGGCTTTAGTTGGGTGCTTTCCTCTCTCTGTACGCCCCAAACAAGAGCTCCTAAATATTCATATAATATTCCCAAGGTTTACTGTTGTGATTCAGAGAAATTCCAGGCACATATGATCTACTTGGTTTATTTATCCTATTTTCTTCTTTCTAGGTATTTTTTGATTTAATGAGGGAAATTCGAGCCAGAAAGATGGAGGACAGCAAAGAAAAGAATGGGAAAAAGAAGAGGAAAAGTTTAGCCAAGAGAATAAGAGAAAGATGCTGCATTTTATAATCAAAGCCCAAACTCCTTTCTTATCTTGACCATACTAAGAAATATAATTTATAAGCTTTGCCACTGAAGGCTCAATTGACTGAATTTACTTTAACATTTTGGAAATTGTTGTGTCTCTAAAAGCATGAATTGGAACTGCACTGAAAGTCAAATTCACTTAAAAAAGAAATTAATGTGGCTTCACCAAGAAGCAAAGTTCAACTTATTTCATAATTGCCTACATGTATCACAGTCCTGAATGTAGCGTGGGCACTTGTGTTTTGCTGGCAGTCTTTCCTGAACTATTCAAGAGGTGAGACGGGGGTGGGCAATGGGAGGAAAGGCTACTTCCTCTGGTTTATTATAAAGCTTAAATTTTATATCATTTTAAAATGTCTTGGTCTTCTACTGCCTTGACAAATGACAATTGTGAACGTGATAAACTGTACCACTTTTTTAACCATTGTTATGCAAAATATAGAAGAAAAAGTTACTGGCATGATTGTTGCATATAGTTCAATTGAGAGTAATTCATCTGTGAACCTGCATTAATTAGCCGGTGATTAACTTAGAAAAGTGGTGTAAACTTGTACATGGAAATTTTGTAATATGCCTTAATTTAGAAACCTAGATACCCACTTACATCATTCTGGGTGTGTCCTCACTGTGCCGTGGGCCCATTGCCCACGTGTCCTGGTGAGAGAATATATGTCAGGATGGAGGACAACGTTTGTGTAGAAGATTCTCGGGAAATTACTGGTAGGAGTCTGTCCAAATTTAAACTGTGTGCCATACTCTGGTTCTTGAAAGTAAGGTTCCAGAGCTTCTTGATTGCTTTTAATTAAGTGTAAGGTAGTTTAAAATGAAGGACCAGCATCTACTTGTAAGATAATTTTAGACTATGAGCATTCAGTACCAGTTATGTCTCAGTGAAGCCTCTTTCTTTAAGATGCTGGTCCCTGGAAATCCCTTTCTGCAAGTGGTGAGCATGTGTTAAGATTTTGATCTCCTTGGAGCAGAGCACAGGAAAAGCGTGGACAGTGCTAATGGCGTTTTGCACTAGAACACTTCGGAAAAGTCGTGCTCTCCATCTGGTAACTTCTAAATTTGTATTCCCGAGGTTACAGTTTGTACGGGAGTTACTGGGATTATTTGTAGGCTGTGTTCGTAATGAAGAACACTGTTTCTACGTTTTCCTAAAGTTAACGTCGAACAACCAAACCCGAGGATAGTGCAGAAAACATGTCTGGCACCAAACAGTAGGCTGTGTCCCCACTGTATGGCGTGCCCTCTGGAGGTCCATAATTTCAATGGGAAATTTACCACTGTCAGATTTTTCTTTTCTTTGTAATGGGACTAGGACAGTTTGATTCAACAAAGTTTTTGTTTCTTTTTGCTCAGTCCTAATTTCAGCAAGTCAAAGATGTGTTCAGGCATTCCAGGTGACAGATAGATATGTACGTAAAGTTAACAAAAATAGGCTATTTAGGAACTGAACTCTTTAGATATTACATCCGGCTTGTCATATTAAATATTTGTCCTCAAAGGGTTTGAGATGTACATCTTTCATATTTTTCATAGGCTGTGCCATGTGCAGAATTAAAGTTACCAATGTAAGCGCGGCCCCGTGGGCCCAGCGATCTCCGTGTGTACTTGTTGCAGTCTCATTTAACCAGGGGTCCTAACCACTAACATTGTGACTTTGCTTTGAGACCTTTCCTCTCCTGGGTACTGAGGTGCTATGAAGCCAAATGACAAAGATGCATCACATGTCTTAGGCTGATGCCACTACCCGATTGGTTTATTTGCAATTTGAGCCATTTAAAGACCAATAAACTTTCTTTTTTTAAATGTTTGTGGTGTTACTTGATGTTTACCATGTAACATGTAAAATTCAGATTTATCAACCTGGGCATCCTTACCAGGGACTTGACTACAACTAAATCTTTTGAGCCATTAGTTTAGGGACTTCTGTGTGAGAAGAATTCTGTGCCAGATTTCCTCAGTCAGGATCATCATCGCTCAGGTTTAATCAAGGCTCAGAAATGGAGGAGCCCCATGTGCAGAATTGCACAGAAGACACTCTTCTGCTGTCATGAAAGTCACAAATGTATACACTACTTTTAGAATACTACTCCACTCCGGAGTGGGTAGGTGGCAGCTTTATATTCACTTCCTAAATCAGAATGAGCTCCAGGGATGCTTGAATTTCCAAGTTGTGGCAGGAGAAACCACCCCCTTACCATTTCATCACACTTCAGGCCATTCTCTCTCATTTGATGTCTGCTGGGCAGTTGTGTCCTATTAATCATCACACAGCCTGTGGGTTAGAAACGATCTGGCCCAATACTGAACACAACCCCTCAAAATCCAATTCATTTTAATTTCCTACTTAACTCATAAGCAGTGCCAGAATGAACACATTTAAGTTATAAATGGTATCATTTTAAATCTCACTGTGTGGACCCATTTTTTAACACCAATAATGGGCATGATGTTAGGTACCAAACAAAGCTTAGATTAAGTTGTCTCAAAGTGAATCGGAATGTCATTTTCAAAATTCTGTGAAAAGGAGGTAAAAAAATTCGGCAACCTCATCTAACTGCCCTAAGAGTAAAACTATTTACCAAAACTTCCTCTAAACTTTTCAAAGTAACCCTTTTTATTTAATCCAGTGTTAGAGTAGATTCACCTGGCTGCCCACACAGGAGGGGAAGATAGCTCATGAAGTCCTAAGGGTTGGCATGGGCTAATAAGGAGTCTGAATTGCACCTGAAGCTGATGGAGAACCAAAGTCCCCTTTAGCAAATTACTTTGGAAGTGAAGAGTGGCAGGTCAATGGAGGTCTTCATGCCCTTAGTTTTTGATAGGTTTTTATGGACCACCTACTGTGGGCACTGCTGGGAATACAACAGATGGAAGGACAGACAGAAGTTTGGGACAAGTACAGACATTCACACTGAAGAAAGTACCTATGTGTTCCATGCATAAGGAAAGGAAAAGAAGTTTTTAAAGAATTAGAGATTAAGTCTAGGTCTCCTTACACGGGGCTAGACCCCCTATTTGCTATGTTTGTAAATTCATATAATAGCAAACACAGTGTGTTCTGTATGCGCCGTGCACGGCCTGCAGGATCTTAGTTCCCTGACCAGGGATCAAACCTGGGCCCCCTGTAGTGGAAGCACACAGCCCTAACCACTGGACTGCCAGGGAATTCCCTGTATTTTTTTAACCTAATATTAACCCTGTGTGGTAGGTGCTGTCCTTAGCCCCTATTTTGCAGAGGGAAAAACTGAGGCATAGAGCTGTTGAATAACTTGCCCAGGGCCACGAAGCTGGTAAAATTATTAACTGGGATTGGAAGCAAAGAAGTCTGGCTCCCGAGTCCATGCTCTGAATCACTGCACAGAGGAGTAGAGTGGAGACTAGAATTAATTATTCAGTGGCCCGTACTATTGTGGGAAACGTCCAGGATTCCCCCAAGGCTGCAGCCACCTAGTCAATGATTGCCTTCAGAGAGTTTGCAGAGGTTGCTATGAACAGAAGAGGCCTCTTGTGCTTACAGCCTGGTTGCTAAGAGAAAGATCAAGTGTGGGAAGGAAAACCTTGTGCAGAGCTCAGCTCTGGAGTCAGCCTTACAGTGCTTTTTCCATAACATCAGTAAAGAGGCAGCATTCTTTGGCAGGCCAGAAACCTTCATCCCGTATTTCTTTAACTACAAAATAATTTCCCAGTCCTTTGCTCAAGCAGCCCTGAGTGCAGCTGTTGTGGACAACTGCCTATAGACAGGAGGTGGGCGGGGAGGGACATTCAGCCATCTGTAGTCTCAGTCCTTACAGAAGCACCATTTAAGGGGAGAGAGAGGGGCCTAGAGAGCATCTAACGTCTGTTTAAGAGCAGCCATGACAGTCCAGTGGTTAGGACTCCACACTTCACTGCTGAGGGCATGGGTTCGATCCCTGGTCAGGGAACTAAGATCCCAACAGCCACGCGGCCAAAAAAAATCTGTTGAAGAGAGGCCCTGAGACCTGTGATAACTTGCACAACTAATCTGATAGAAAAACAAGATCACTTTTATCAAAAGCCCCAAGGAAAGCAAACAGCTGAAGCGTTTAGGTGCTCACAAGCTCCTAGCAGTTAGGAAATGCTCCTAAGGGCAAAATGTTCACAACAGCCAAAAAGTAAGTGTCAAGCCTTGTTGAATTGGAAGAGAAAGGAGCAGGTATCAGGTATGAGAGCTAACTTCTGGGCCTTTGCTGGGAGAGGGCTTCTCTACGGAAGAAGCACAAGGAATTGCAGGCTGTCGCCCTGAGTGTTGCACCATCACATGCCAGATGTTTGTTGTTTATGGACTGATCTTTGTGAAGGACGCCGATTCGGTGGAAAGCTACTTAGATGGTTTTCCTGGACCCCAGAAGTCCGCTTAGAGGGGACCTTAGAATTCGCTTTGAACTTAGTCTCCATGCCTCCTTAGTCCCCCCTCCAGTCCATGACAATTCCTAATAAGTAGAGATGGACCGAAAGCATGTTGGGTACACACCCTGTGACACAGAAGGCACTCAATAAGTGTGACTCTCACCAGCAACATGTCTAAATCCCACTCCTGTTCAAGGCCCACCTCAGATATCCCTCCTCTTTGCAGTTGGTAGACAGTTGGGATACAAAGTAGTGGGTGGGTCTTATAGTCAAAACATATGTGGTTGTTGGCCAAGGTGGGGGGGGGGAACACATTCTGGTGGGGCAATATGGCAGGATCTACTCAAATATAAAAAGCAAATACCTCAATATTCACAAAATTCCCTTTTTCTCTCTCTCTCTAAGAGAACAACTGCACACGTGCCCAGAGTCATGCACAAGGTGGTTCACTGTAGCATTATTTACTAAGGAACAGAGAACTACCTAAATGTCTAGGAACTGAGGAATGGCTAAATAAACCTAACATAGACAATGCTACACAGCAGTTCAAAGGAACAAACTAGAGATATTTATCAGCACAGAGAGATCTCTACAATATTCTTGGGTCAAAAATGCATCTTGCACCATGATACAAACATTACAACTTTTTGGCAAAACCCATATACAAA